CTATGTGAAATCATATTGAGTTTCCTGCTTAAGAGGCCTTCACGGACTGTGCCCTCAGGCTCGCCAGCCCTTCCTTGTGCTTTGTGTGCCTAGCTCCTTCTCATAGTTGCTTTCCAAGGCGTCTCTAACCACCTGTCTGCAGTACCCCAGCATTTACCTTGCAGGTCTCCATCAGATTGCTGTTTTATTTTCTTTATGGAACTCACCACTAGCTGGGTCATTTCCTTGTCTGTCCTTTCTAGAAAGATCTTATTTGTCTTGATCACTTCTGTATTTTTTGTACCCAGAACAGTGCCTGGCATATAGTAGGTACTCGGTATTTTTTTCTTTTGACACACAGTATCTTTTGAATGACTGAGAAGGAAATTTTGATTTGATGTACTTTTTCATTGTTATCAATATATATATGTATGTGGTTAGTTCTGTATTAGCTAATTTATTTTGGTGAATTTATAGATTGATCAGATCCCACCAGGCCTCCACAAACAGGTTTTCCTGTATTCTTATGTGCTGAAACTAGTTTCTGTCTTGATCCTAAAGTAACTTGTTAAATGTATGGTTTATAACCTTGTATAAGCTTAGCTTCGAATAGTATGGAAGGTGAAAAAGCATATAGGATGTGTCAGAAGAAAGGTGTAAGTTTCAAAAGAATTGCCTTGATTAGTGGAAGACTAGAGATACCATTGAGTTCCTAGCAATGCCTCACTGATGACTTAGCACATAAAAATCTTCTTGGCATGGAACAGGGGCAAGATGGTCATACATGAGCAGCCAGACTTCAGGGATGAAAGGAAGGAATGTGTGACAAGGAAATGAGCCATAAAGAGGAGAGAATTTGGATATTTTCACTATAGAAACATTGGATTAGATTTGAGCATAATTTGAAAATGTGAAAGGAGAGTCTAACAGAAAAAGAATGCTAGACAGTGATGGGAAAGGGAGAGACTGGATATAAGACTCCTAAGGACTAGGAGGAATCAAGGACACAGGGTAGACCTAGGGAGAGGGCAAACACTCGGAGAGCATGTTTTTACCCAGACAGAGGTAAGAAGGGACAACAAAGCCAGATAGTGCCTTTTTTAAAAAATTGAGGTAAAATTCACATAACGTTCACCATTTTAGCCACTTAAGTGTCCAATTCGGTGGCTTTTAGTACATTCACAAAGTTGTGCAATCATCTGCCGTATAGAATTCCAGGACATTTTAACCACCCCAAAAGAAACCTCATACCCATTAAGCAATCACTTCCCACCCGTCCCTCCCTCAGGCCCTGGCAGCCTCTGATCCACTTTCTGTGTCTAAGGATTTGTTTATTGTGGACTTTTCATAGAAGCAGAATCCTACAGTAGGGGCCTTTTGTGCCTGGCTGCTTTCACTCACCATAGTGTTTTCAAGGCTCATCCATGATGTGGCATGTATCAGAACTTCATGCATTTTTGTGACTAATGGACTGTTGTGTGGATATATTTATTCACTCATTTGTCGATCAACACTTGGGTTGTTTCCACCTCTTGACTGTTATGAATAGCATTCTGCTATGAACATCTCTATGCCATGATAACTTATAAAATCTCTCTCCTACCTCCATTCTGAGCTTTTTTCCCCTAACAATTTTGTCTAAATTTTACATTTAAAGGTTGATTACAAATGTTATACAAATCCTATGTTAAACATTCCGAACCATGTATTCCACTGAATTCTGATTTTTTTAAGTGATTTTAATATTTCATGGAAAATTACAAATTTAAAAACATTCTCCTCTATTAAATCATTCTAGTTTTGTTTTCTGACATCAGTGGCTAGAATTCTCCATAGTTTTTAAAGTAATTATGTGCCAATTGATTTTCATAGGCTATGGGAACCTCAACTATGGATTTGAACTGGTAGAGAACATTTTTTCATATCAGTCTTTTTTGGTTAACATTGTTTAGAGTAACCTCTGCAATCATAGATGTGAAATCCCAAAGTAAGATGCCAGATCTCACATGCACATGTTCAGAGGGAAAGACTGAGAACATGTTCCATGATTCTTGGAGTGGGTTGGTGAGGGAGGTACTGTCGTCTTACCCTAAACCTAGAGGCTATAGTAAGGGTCACAGATCACTCTCCAAAACAGAGATGCATCTACTTGACTCAAGGGAGCTATAGGAGAGAGCACAAGAGAGCCACTCCCTACTCCTAAGATAAGTGTTATTTTATTTACTCTTTAAAATATCTATCAGGCCCCAGGAGTTCAGAGGGTACAAGTTCAGAAAGAAATGTTCTACTCCCGCACCACTCCTCCTTCCTTTTGCTCCCACCTGGAAAAGTTAGAAACTGACTCACAAACTTGGGGTGGAGGCTTCTGTTCGAGAGGAAGCATAAAAATTAGATAGTACCTGACCTCTCCCCACTATAGACTTCTGGGCTAAACAGTCCCTAGCTGAATGAAAACCCCAGGTTTTGTACTATATCAAGTTGGGGTTTGACTGAGCCTATGTCAGGGTCGGGAAGAGGAGAGAGTCATGAGCCTGTGTTAATACTGCATTTGAAACCCCTCTGGGCCATCTAGGAGGAGAGGTGACAGATAGGTGACCAGCTATCTATAGTTGGAAGTTGAAATGAAGCCTTGGAAGCGGCTGAAATCACCTAGGGATAAATTCTAGAATGAAAAGATGAGAAAATCTAGCAGACTTGGTCTCCGCTTTGAGCAGCTCAAGTTCTGTCCAACTATTAGATCATATGGCATAATATATGGACTTTTTTAAATGTGAAAACTATAAGACCTTGAATGCATGTAGACAGTAGAAGCTTTTTATGTTCTCTTTGCTTTCTCGTGAAAGTTGTCACAAGTGGCTGCTTTTGTACCTACACACAAAAACGATGATACAGATTTCAAGCCAGCTGGTCGTTGCTATATTAGTTTTTCAAAGCACTATATAGAAAATGTAGGGATGAACTTCGAAGGCTTCTTTCCCCATGCAGTGGTACTTCAGACTCTATCATTTGTCTGGAAAAGAAATACATGTTACTTCTCTGATAGATGTATGTGTAGAGTCTCTAATGCTTTAAAGGGAATCTGTAGAAGGTCATCTGAGCACTCTCCAACTTCAGCTCCCCTTCCTAAAAGCATTACTTCTTTGTGTTGATGCCTTTTCCCCTGTTACCATTTCAAAATGGAGTCAGAAGTGATTTGGAGAGATTTTTTTATATTTTATTTACAACTGCTGGCACTTAGATGTTTGAGAAAGTCAGGGTTTGGAAGTCCATTTTGAGTTGGATTGGAACTCAGTACCAGCAAATCAGAAAATCAAGGTAATTTGTAAATGAATATGCCAGAGAGGTACAGCGTGCAAGTAACATCACACGTGGTTATTTTGTCTTCTACTTTCAAACTTGAATCCTATTGTTTTCTAGTTGTAATTATAAAAATAAGGAGATAAACCAGTAAACTTGGAGTTAAGTGACTTGAGTTAGAAATTTTTAAATTTTAAGACTATCACAGATAACTTGAGTAGCTCTCTTTTGCCTTCTGTTAAAGTGGGATTAAAGGCGGAGCACATAGAAAAGTATATTTAGTATTTTTCCTGCTTGTTTTTGTTAAACTTATTAGTTCTGATGTTTAGCAAAATGGAGCAGGTGTGTCCCTTCTGTATATGTGCTTCCATGTGTTATTAAAATTCCGATTGGATATAAATTTAATAATATACAACTTGTTCCTTTTTTATTGAATTTATTGGGGTGACATTGGTTAATAAAATTATATAGGTTTCAAGTGTACAATTCTCTAAACATCATCTGTATATTGTATTGTGTGTTCACCACCCTGAGTTAGTTTGCTCTTAAAGCAAAGGTAATTTCAATACTGAGTATTCAAGAGACTATTAAATCGTAATTCTTGAAAACTATAGTTATATTTGAATTAGATGTTAGGAAATAAGGCCATCTAGTGGTAAAATTCCCAAGTTTTAGTTATTTGGAAAATCTGACATCTGCCTTTCTAAATTCTGGACTTGAGAATTTGTCAGGTAGATGTATTGTATGACCATTACAAAGTTTTCTAGAAAATAGTTTAAACAAAGGTATTTTTCCCTTTTTCAACAAAATGAAGTCTCTTTGGTAATGTCCTGAAGCTCCTTTGTACAAAGTGTTAATTCAAACACGTGATTTTTTTTCTTGCTTGTAATCATCAGAGCCACACCTAATATCTGTAAGTAATAAGCATTGAGAACAAAGTAGAGACTACGGGTGTTAAAGTTTATGTAGTTAACAGTTCTTCAGTCTCGTTGGCAAAATCAGAGCCTATTATTACTCAAGATCAGGCAATGAGCAAGACTTAGGTCCTGCCCTTAAAAGAACATGATTGCAGGTCTCAGTACTTAGAATATTTGAAAAGTGTCCACCAGAGGCAATCTGCTTATTCCAAATGCTAATCTGTGTGAGTGGACCCAGAAATCTGCATTTCAGACAAAGGCCTTTGAGTGGTTTTTAAGTGAATATAGTTTGAGAATCATGCTGTACCCTATACGAAGATCATACAATAAAATCTGTTGTTTGGGAACTTAGTTATATGTATAAATTTAACTTATGTATGTAAATGTTAAACATGTGTTAGGGAAGGAACATAAAAGTCAGTTGTAACTTACAGTTTCCCAGCATGCTTCTCAGAAATAATAGAGCAAAGAGAGAAACTGAAAACGAACTGAACTGGTAGCTTTTTAACTGTCTTATCACAGTGTTTAACATTACTGACACCTTCTAACAAATGAAATGTAACATCTGAATATTTCTCATCAAACAGTACGTTTTCTAAATTAAGAAAGGATAGTTACACGTCTGTGAGCTGCCACTGCCCTGTTCCCTCTCCAGCTTTCTCTCCACTCGGATGTTACCTTGCCGTGGAACAAGTTTCCTCTCGTTATTGAAATTAATCTAGAATATCTTTCTTTGCCTCTGAAGTTACTGATAACATTCCCATATTATTCTCACTTTTCATTTATAAAATGATTCTCTCCTCCTAGGTGTTTGGAGTAGATGACAATCAGGATTATAATAGGCCTATTATCAATGAAAAGCATAGAGATCTGATAAAAGACTGGGCTCTCAATTCCGCTGCAGTAATGATGGAAGAAAGAAAACCACTGAGCACACCTGGGTTTCACAACTCCGAGGTATCCGTCTCTTCCTCATATTTCACTTCTTACATACACACATGGGAATTTCCATCATTTGTAATGTATTAAGTTATTGATATGCCCCCTTGTAAAGCCCTTCCAAAAATGAAATTCTCCCAAATTACTTGTTTCTGATGAAAGCCTAAGGCCGTTTTGCAGTAACTCCATTTCAGTTTCTGTTACTGTGTTCTTTCAAATGAATATTCTTTGGTCAGTGAGGGGAAGAGTTAACTTTCAGTAAGCAGTTGATGAGTTATATGCTCAGTGCTCTATTTGGCATTGTAAGGTAAAGCAAAAAGCACACACTGCTTATACTTTCCAGGGGGTCATGGATTCAGAATGGAAAGACCTATCCCTCCAGGAAACACGCGAGGTGGTGCCTGATAGACACAACTTATAAACCCAGGTGGTGCCACTGCAGGGCAGCCGAGTGTAATTAGAATGATGGGAAATTAGCCGAGGGTGGCTTGGTGAAGGTGGCTACAGAGTCAGGATGGTGCCACAGAGCCAGGAAGACTGGAGTTCAAATCCCAGAACCGCCTCATCTAGCAGCGTGCCTTTGACTCAGTCACTTCCCCCTCTCTTGTCTTCAGCTCTCTCATCTCTACAAATGGTATTTTTAATAAAACCTGTTTACTGAGGGTTTAATGAGGTATATAAAGCACTCAGCATAGTAGTTGCCTGAGATTTATACACTTAACAAATGTTTATTCCCTTATTGGAAACGATCTTAAAATTTCATTCCACTCTCATGTGTCAAAAGAAATCTAAAAAAATGCATGTAACTGAGAAGTACTGATTAATTATAATGTATTCAGATAATAAGAGCTAACAGTCAATGGAAGCTTTCTGTGTACCGTTTCACAAAAGAGGAACTGAAGTATGTAGTAATTAACTTGTCCAGGGTCTTAAAACTAGTACGTAGTGAAGCTAGAATTTGAACTTTAAGCAGCCTTGATTTCTTGACGTACTCTCTTGCTCACTATGCTAGACTGCCTCTCAGGAAATGAGTTAATTTAAAATACACAAATGGTAAGTAAATAAAATATAAATAAAATCTTAAGGTATAAATAAAACAAAATATAGTTACATTTGTATGAAGTATAAATAAAATATTTTTATAAACAGGTAAATATACCAACATGTTAAAATGGTCCCTTTATGGCCTGCCATTTCCTGAAAACTGTCAAAGCCATTATTGTACTTTAGTGTTTCCCCACCCCCCCTTGATCTTAGAGTTTTTTATTCTGGTTTCTGTTTTACAAGATGCTTAATTTACTTATTGAAAGCAAGCAATACTTATTTGAGGCAATGTTTTCATATTCTGATTCATCAGGCAGGGTTCTGGCGAATGTGAACTTCAATAGGTTCTCCCTTCTTTTGCCTGTCCCCTCAGCCCAGGCCAAGTCAGATTTGTGTATAGCCTCAGCATGGACCTGCCCTGGAAGGCGTCACCTAACCAGGCCATTAGAACATTTTTTACAGGATGGTTCTACATGAGTGTGCTCCTATGAAACCCACTGTATTCTGGGTATGCTAGCATGATGCGAATGGCTGCGGTACTTCTTTCAGTACCAGACCTATGGGCAGTTACCGCAGAATCTCGAAAGGGAATTCAGGGATTCAGCAAGAATTCCTTAGGCTTCATTGTATGTATGTTATTATGTATACTTACTATCTTAACATATTATTTTTGAAACCATATATTACTACAGTAAATCTGACACTTTTAATAAAATATTGTTTTGAATAACTTAAAATATATTTTCAGGCATAGCTTTCTGTTCCTTAGTTGTCATTCTGGTTGCAATATGAGGCCTTGGCTTAGAATTTTAGTGGGGAAACCATGTTTTCTACTCTCCCTAGTTCTTCCAGGTTAAATGCCCAGATGGCGTTGGTCTTAAGAATTACGATTGTATATCCATAAATCTGTGGGACCGTTTCATGAATTAAGGTCCATTGCACACTTGACTGTAAGAGTTCAAAGAGCACTTGCCTTAAGAACAAATCTAGGCATGGGCAGGTGTAGGTTCAGATCAGTTATAGAAAAATTCTTAAAGGTTGAGTAATTTCTAGCTCTTTCTGAAAATATGAAAGTGTTACAGGAAGCAATGTCAGGCTTTAGGTTTGTTTTTGAAATCCCTGAAGACATGACCAACAGGTTTAATACTTCTTGAGACTCTGGAACCAATCCGATTCCTAGAAATGTTGAGAGGGCTAGAGAACAACTTGGGACTAGACCTTGAGAGATTCCCTGTTCCGGAGAATGGACTAGAACTAACTCCAGTTAGATCCACAGAGCTATGATAATCTACCTGAGTTTATCCAGCAGCAGTAAATGTTACGCTCCAAGAGTGTATTTTAGTACCACTGTTAGTCTTGAATCAGTTGAATTATACTGCATTCACAGTAATAATAAAATGTTGCAGTTAAAAGGGATACCTAGACAATCTTCATTTTCTAGTATAAGGAAATTTAATACGTGATAATATAGGAATATGAGGGTAAATATTGCTTTGTACGACAGGTTGCTGTGAGTAACTGGAATTCTCTTTCATGAGTCAGGTCTGACCAGACTGCATTGTTTTGTTATCTTTCCTTTGTCTCTTAGGAAGGCACGTCTTCATCTGGAAGCAAGCGTTGGGTTTCACAGTGGGCCAGTTTGGCTGCCAACCATACGAGGCACGATCAAGAAGAAAGGCTAATGGAATTGTCTGCATCTGTTCCTTTAGAGAATGGTACTTGCTCTGTGTGTGTGTGTGTCAGTTTTCAGAAGCAAGCTAAATCTTCAGAGTGAGAAGTAAAGTGAACTTAAATAAACATACTCCCATATGCTCATGCTTATACTACCTATATCATTTTAATTTCACTAGCATGGAAATCATTCAAATTAACTCACACTGCCCTAGCCGGTGTGGTTCAGTGGTTAGAGTGTTGGCCTGCAGACTGAAGGGTCCCAGGTTCGTTTCCGGCCAAGGGCACATACCTCTGTTGCAGGCTCAATCGCTGGCCTGGTCTGGGTGCGTTCAGGCAGCAACTAATTGATGTGTCTCTCAAATTGATGCTTCTTTCTCTCTCCTCTCTCTCCCCCTCCTACTCTCTCTGAAAAGCAATGGAAAAAATATCCTCAGGTGAGGATTTTAAAAAATAATAGGAATTAAAAAAAATTAACTCACATTGACGATAGAGATAATTTGTAGAAGAAGCACATAATGTACACAAATTTATATAACGTGAAAATTAAAAAGACTAACACAGTTCCAAATTATCCCATTCATTAATATATAAGTATTTAAATGCTACTTTGTGCCATACAGCAATAAAACATAATTTACTTAATACATAATTTACTTACTGCGTCTTTTGCAAATCTTTGTAATGTGATTTTTATTACCTTTTAATTATATTTCCAAGAAGTAAAATAATTTTTAAAACAATTATATGCCTCTTAATGATATTATTAGATTCAGTTAATCACATTCTTAATTTTAAAAAGCCCTCAAAGAGAATTTGCATGTGGCTTTTTCTCTGTATTAATGTTGTTATCCTTAGAAATGGAAATAGAAGTTTATTTTGTCTCTGACTTGTGGCACCCCAAAAATCTGGTTTAGAGATTTTGTAAACATTAGTCAGCAATTGTTTGAGCAAGATACACGACAATGTACTAGAAAAGCTGTATCCTTTATGAGTCAGAAATTACAAAAGGAATTGATCATATTACCAAAAATGTTTGGAAAGACAGTGGTTTGCAGGTTGGTTCACAGAAACTAGGCCGTATTTGGGAAACAGACCAGACAGAGGAGCTAGGTACATTTACAGATAGAATCCGCTATAAAATTATTAAGTATTAGCTGTGGAAAGCAAAATTCTACCTCGTTATAAGAAATAGTAGACCACGTGGCCTCCAGTATCTCATTCCCACTTCATGTTCTAAGTGAATTTATTTAGATAAGCTGATCAATCCACTTAAATCTAAAGTGTTCTTGTTAAACATTTATCCAGTGTGAGAAATGGTAGAAAAATATAAACAGATAAAATAGCTACTACGTTTTAGATGCCTCAAATAGCAAGGAGATAAGACATAACAAAATAATATATGACAAATTGCTAAATTAAAATTAAATCCGTAAGTTTAACATTTTCTTACATCATAGTCATTGTATTGCTGTGAAATTTAAGCTAAGATGTTAGAATTGTAAAGGGGAAAAAAAGACCTCCAGAAGCTGTATCTAGCATCTTTTTCCCACTTAGCTTCAAAAGATTAGGATGCTTTATGTGTGAATTTATATTTCTCTGAAAGATGTATCCCTTTTCTCAGGAAAATATTCCATTTATTCAGGAAAATCCTCCTTAAGTATTCTCAAATTCTCTCACGTGGAAACATTAATGTACATATTTTCTCACTGGCTTCTGCTTATTTGAAAAAAAGGAAATGATCATATATTTCTCTGTGAAGCTTTAATATACCAGACCATAATTTCAAATCCCTCCATTTGTAAAATTATGACAAGTCCTATAACCCTTTTTCACATTTATAACTTAAAAAATTCTTTTAATCAACTTTGGATTTTATTCCCAGAAACCTTGTTAAAGGCCTGCATTTTCTGTTTTACTTACGAAATCCAACTCATTCTTTCAGGTAGATGATAATGCTTCTTAAATACTAGATATATTACTCTTTCCTATGTCAGTGAAAGTATAGCAAGTAAACAGTGTTATTAGGCATTCTCTATGCAATTCTGTAATCTGCTAGTTAGAGCAAACCTTAGAGGGTGGGATAAGTGACAGTGAACACAGTGAGCTTCCAAGGAGCACGTTGAAAGACGAAGAGGCAGCAGATGGAGGTTTCAGATCAGACGACCCTCATTTTCATCTCATACAGTTTACTCTGCTGACTCCCCTCTCAGTAATGTGCCCATTTGTGCACTTGGCATTGTACTTGCATTTTAAACCACTCTGTCACAATGCTGACTTATTTCGTCAAAGTTTTCTTTTACACTTAAGCCATTTCTGAACTCACTCTTCAAAACCTAGTGTAACATGCTGTTGGTTTTGTTTTTAGTTTTGGCCCTAATTTCTGCTTTGTGGTTTTATTTGGCAGATGCAGACTTAAGTGAATCTGGCATTTCCGTGAGAGGCACTGGCTCCGTGACGTCCTTGACTAGTCATGGGGAGAGGAGGAGACGGACCCTTCCCCAGCTTCCACACGAGGAAAAGCCCCTGGAGAGCTCCAGAGCAAAGGCTGTGACACCGAGGTCAGAGATAGGGGAAAAGCAAGACACGGAGCTCCAGGAGAAAGAGACCCCTGCACAGGGCTACCAGAAGGATAAGCAGGACACCGACAGAGCTCTGAATAGAGGGAGCAGGGCGCTAAATGGGGAGACCCCGAAAACTGGTGGAGATGGTAAAGGCCCCCTGCACCTCGGCAGCTCTTCTCCTGGGAAGGAGAAAAGTGAACCCGACAAGGAAGCTTCTTTGGTTAAACAAGCATTAGCCAAAATCCAGCAACAAGAGCCAAAGGAGCAGGCACAGTGGACACCTACTAAATTGTCTTCCAAAAATGCGTCAGGGGCGGCAGAGAGGAGTAGGGAGGAAGCTTTGAGACAGGAGTCACAGCCTCAGGACAGAGTACCGGGACATTCTGCAAGCAAAGGAGAAAGGGTGGCCCCGAGCGAGGGCAAGCGAAGGAAAGCCGAGGAAATTCTGAAAAGCCACCCTTCAAAGGGCGGCGACAAGAAGGAGTCCTCCAAGCCACTGGTGCGACAAGGAAGCTTCACTATAGAGAAGCCCAGCCCCAACATCCCCATAGAGCTCATTCCCCATATAAACAAACAGACTTCATCTACACCCCCTTCCTTGGCCTTGGCACCTGCCGGCAGACTGCGCGACAGAAGCGACTCCATGGATGCTGACTCCAGTATGGACACAACCCTGATCCTCAAAGACACAGAAGCAGTAATGGCTTTTCTGGAAGCTAAGCTGCGCGAGGATAATAAAACCGACGAAGGCCCCGATACTCCCAGTTACAACAGAGACAACTCGATCTCCCCGGAGTCCGACGTGGACACGGCGAGCACCATCAGCCTGGTCACGGGCGAAACGGAAAGGAAGTCCACCCAGAAGCGGAAGAGCTTCACCAGCCTCTACAAAGACAGGTGTTCCTCCGGCTCCCCTTCCAAAGATGTTGCCAAGTCGGCCTCTGGTGCTCGGGAGAAAATCGACAAGAAGACAAAAGGCCGATCGGCAGATGCAGCCTCGCGGGCGGACGGGCGCAAGTTTGCGCAGTCGGGCGGCAGGATCCGGCAGCCCTCGGTGGACCTGACAGACGACGACCAGACCTCCAGCGTGCCCCACTCCGCCATCTCCGACATCCTGTC